CTCCCCCCCCCACACACAAACAAACAGAGAGAACAATACAGTGAAAGATGACACTTATTGTTTGTTCGTTTGTGTGAGTAAAGAGAAGCACGTCAACACAATAATGGTCATTCAGCGGTAGGAAAAGGTGAAACAGAAAGACAGAAACAACAGAGTGAAAGTAGAAAAGTAGGACCAACCAGTGGAGCTCTCCAACCACTCGCGAAGGATAACAAACCAAAGACAAGTGCAAACATTTAAACAGAAAAAAAACCCAGACACACGTTTACATTGCTCAGACTGTAAACAAAGTGATTAATTCCAGAGACATAAAAATACAAAAATCCGGCTCACAGCCACAAACAATCGAAAGGAAACGATTAAGGGGCTTATGCATGCTACTTAACTACAAAAAGCTTTTTCTAATATCAAGTAGGGCAAGTTAGGGTGTACACTGGTCCGAATTGTCAGGTGTGCATAATCCAATAGTCTTGTAAAAATTATTATGATTGTCATCATCAGTACTTTCATTATTATTATTGTTTTCATTCTGTTTTATTATTACATATTACGGAAAGTAAAATAAACTGTCTTATATCCTTTCGCTATTGTGTTTTTACGACACGAAAGACTTTCGCTATCACCAGAAAAAAAAGTATTATCGGTTATTGGTTAAAGTAAAATTGAGGCCTCCATTCCGTTCATACTTGACCAACTACACACGCTCACGGTCTCAACTCGCAATGGGGTAAATGGTCGCTTTTAAGCACAAGGAGGCTGTCCCAAAAAATGCTATTTCGAGAAAATCGTTCAGTTTCCTTAAAAGATAAGGAGAGTTCTCTATAACCAAACAATAGGTAGGGCAATGCCCACTTTTGGTGTTGGTCAAGATTTCTGGAAACCCCCGAAATCTGATATAGCCCACTTGTCCTTAAAAGTGACCAAATATAAGTCGCCGTGGCCTTAACGGGAAAGACACTTTTGAATTACTTTAATTAATGGGGAAGGGGAAAAGGGGTGGGGGGTGCAGTTTACTTTTACTTACTTATTTACCTTGAACGACAATGGACATAACATGTCCAGCCGAAACTGGCATGACGTCAATAAATCTGACCAAAATATATGTTACGATGATATCGGACTAGTGTACACTCCACCTAATTAAGCAGCAGGGCAGAGAGCCAGCACACACACACACACATACACACACAAACACACACAAACCCACACACATACATACACACACACACAAACCCACATACACATGCACACACGCATGCACAAACCCACACACAGACAGCAACACACACATACACAAACATACACACATACACAAACATACACACACACACACACACACACACACACTCTCTCTCTCTCTCTCTCTCTCTCTCTCTCTCTCTCTCTCTCTCTCACACACACACACACACACACACACACACACACACAAGCGTGGGACAGGCGAAGCAACAAGCAAGCAAGGGCGGAAAGAGTCGAACACTTACGGAAGAACACGACGCTTGGCCCAGCGACACCTGGGAGCCGTTCCTCAGGTGAGAGATGGTGTACTGAGAATACATGGGTGAGACATAGTGTGTTACAACATAGAGAGAGAGAGAGAGAGAGAGAGAGAATGCTGCAATAAAAACCTTTCAGCTTGAGATATGGCTTTTTTGCTTTGAGTGAAGGCTGTGGTGATTGTGGAGGTAGAAGTGCAGAGAAAGGAGAAAATACGACATCTAGAGGTATATCCATTGCTTAGTAGCTTCCTTAGAATTACAAGGTTCTATCTGTTCAGTGCCTCGTTTTGAGAAATTTGATGTAAAAATGTTGAGTTTCACAACGCGTTAAGCTTTTTCAAATGCAATTCTCCGAATATCTTGATAACGATTCCGAATAATCTTACGATTTTGCACAACACATCAAGCTTTTTCGAATGCAATTCTTCGAATATCTTGATAACGATACCGAATAATCATACAACTTTTGATTGACCACCAGATAGAGCACTTGGTTTCTGACCTCATGGTCTTAGTGACTCCAAACGGCCAAACATTTTAGATTGAACTTTGTAATTCTAAAGTAACGTAGCGTTAGGCTCCACCATACGCCATTTTGAAAAGTGACGTTTGACGGAGTTTCACACTTAGCAATCGATAAGAAGAAGTGCAAGGATATTGAAATAGACAAATGTGAACACAAATAAATATAGACTTTACATACGAGAGCAAGCATCAAAATGACAACAAAAGATACTATAACGGAACATGTAACGGCAAAGTGAAGATGTGCAGAGAAAGATGAAGTCACAAACAAACAACAACAACAACAAAAGAAAATAAGATACCTAGGGTGACAATACTCATTTTATACATCAATATTATACATGTACATGAAGAATACAAGAAAACAGAAATAAGTCACAATTTATAAATTTTGCCTTTGTTTAGGTTTACTGTTTGGCTTGTTACACTCTGTCCAGTCCTGCCATTTTTAAAATCAGAAATAGCTGTGGTGACTTTCTTGTGACGAATGCCGTTTGTATATAATACGAGTATAATACACACCAACTCTACTAAATAGGTAAAAATGAGCTTACAGTTAACGAAAACATCCGGTCACAGAA